CATATTTATGATTTCTATCACGGATTCAGTCTTGATATTCAGTATTGATATTCAAATTTCATTTATTATTAATAGTTGCATTTATGGCATTAACGTAACACATTACATTGTTCATGATAGTCTGATTGTTCCAGAGAAGTAGTAAAACGCGCGAAAATAGTCGCGGATAATTGCCGATAAAAAAATCATTTGGACAAGTGAGATTCTTTACGTAAGGTGATTTATGTAAGAAACTTTCGTTGAAAAAAAAATTACACGATATGCAAGCATCTAGGATTCAATTTATTATTAGGATTGAGCTTTCTCTTACTTGAATCGCATATGATTCGAATTTATATAGTAAAGAAGATGTGTGTAAATGTGCGTACAATTTTCTTCGACAAAAATAACAATTAATTAATATATAATATGTATATTACGTAAATATATGTATATTGCATAAGTTCTCTCCATATCTCTGTTGAAAAATGTAAGATATCGATGCATTTTAACTAATATCGCTTACATAAATTTAACGTTTGATTTGGGAAAATCAATATAATGGAACTCTGTCTCTTAACATAATTCGTCTTACGTAAACTCTTTAAAGAAATCAATATACAATAATAAATACAATACTAAAATACAATAATAAAAATATACAATAATAAAAATATTATAAAAAATAAAATAATAAAAGGATTATAAAAAATAAAATAATAAATATAGAAAATAATTCTGGATTTTAACATTAAAAAGAAATAACAATTAAAGTCGCTTTTAAATTAATAAAGCACGATAAATACACAGTTTTATTGCGATTAAATGTTCGAAAGAATTGCAATAATAAATTAGCAATTAATAATCATAAATTAATAATTGTAAATGTGTATAATAATGGTTAATAATAATTATATAAAATACATACAAATAATAATTATTATATCACAATTCGCCATTTTTTTAATAAAAATTTTCGCGCTTATGAGGTCATATACAAAGTGTTCCAATAAGGCAGAGAAAAGGAACGATGTCGTTAAACGAATTGCCAGGTGCGTAAATCCACGATCTTGACGATCAACTAGAATGCCGATCGATGACGCCTCGTTTTCATCAAACGGAACGAGCAATGTCGACGACGATCAGTTTTTATATCCGCCGAGTCAAGTCAAGTGCTCCACATTTCCGTCCAAGGACGGGATGATGATTAAAAGAATCCTTCAAGATATCAAGTCTCTGATCTTTTTTAAATTATATATATATATGATACGTAAAGAGAAGAAAACATGTATTTTCTTAAATATTTTAAATTAAGTATTATGTCAAATTAAGTGTTATACACAAATTCATTATCTTCCTAAATAAAAACACAAATAATTATTTATTAAATATTGATTCTATTTTGAATGAATGTTTTTCATTATAGAAATTGATTGTATCAAAAAACTATTTATATGATAAATATATAATATAATCGGCAAGACAATTCACTAGTAAAAATATATATAATTCCTCGCATATAAAATAGCAGAAAGAATTAAAAAAAAAAAAAATAAAGTGAAAAAGTGATGAAAGTATAATCTATCATTAGAAATCGATTCTAATTTTTCTCCGCCCACCTTTTCCGATTTAAATTACCGGATTTTCGCGAGCATAATTAAATGATTAAAACTTGACTAGACCCAGGGGCGGTAGCCCCTCCGAGGACGACGTAGAAGTTTTACTTTCTAGGCGAGAGCGACGTTTGCTCGCGTTCCCCGCAGATATGGGAATCCGTGTAGCCGCCGGGGATTGTGGCGCAATTGCCATCCTTGGACACGAATCTGGAGCAACGTGCTTCGGTGTGCCCGACGTGTTGGAAACTGATTTGACCTATCGGTGTGGGGGAGACGATAAAACTCCAATCGATCGCGAGATTGCAAAATTTTATCAGAAAATGTGGAATCACCAAAAAAAACTTTATAATTTATATTATAATTATTTATCAGCTTTATATTAAAATTTAGATATAATTTGTTTTATATATATTATGCAAATATTATTAAGTAATATATATAATTTCGGAAAATATTTTTTTAATCAGATCTCTCTTTGCAATCATCGCTGTGTATAGTTATAATATATATATCATAAAAGCAAGAGCAAAAACGTGTGTAAGATCGCGAAAGGTGATTATCGGATAATGAGAATAATAAATCTTCGCCTTGAATACACTAAGAACATTCGCAAAAAGAATGGAATGATATTATTTAGAAGCAGATAAGTGAATTAATTTAATTATATATATTTCCATTTAACTTTTCATTAATTAAAGAACCGAATAATTTCAAAATTAAAAAAAACGATTTGAGCTAGATTTAAATAATTTATAATTCGAGATAGAATTTTGACTCATATAAGCATTTTTTCTCATTTATATAATTATAATTGCAACTTTATGCATAAAATTGTAGATAGCATCTTATATTGAAAATCATTAAGTAAAAGATATATTTTGCAAAAAATTCATTTTATATAATTAATAACTTATATAATGTAAAAATAAAAATATTTATATATATAATACTATTACATAATCTTCATAATTAATTATTAATTTGCTTTGTCATAAATTGTAAACAATCTAAGATAAAGTTGAATGTTTCTTATTACAAGTGCCATTTATTCACTTCAGAATGCTCAGTAATGACTTTGAGAGCGACAAACATGAAACTGATGCTTCTTATACGCGTAAAATAATATGGTTCTCCGTGTGATGAAATGGGTGGTGCTATCCAATACCCTTCACTCGCAAGCACTTTGAATTGCGCTGCGCAAATGACAACGATTTATTGCTAGAGCTATTCACTCTGCAAAGAAATGTTACCGTACCAGGCAATTTATCCATGTTCTGCAATAAAAAATACGAGATCTAGTAAAATGTAAACCTGACCTATTTCAATCAATATAAAAATAAAAAAAATAAAGAATATGATATAAATAAAAATAATAATAAAAAATCTAATGTATTCTATACATTTTTATATAAATTATATAAAATATTTATATACATAAAATATATATATATAAATATATAAAATATTGATGAAAAGAACAATTAAATGCTTGTATAAATAAATAAGTAGAAAAAATTATATATTATTTAAATATGATGTGATAATTAAATTTTAGATAAAATTCCTGTTTTTAATGAATGCAAAAGTATTGTATTTATTTATAAAATAAATAAATAAATATATATATAACAAATAATTAAAAATAATATAATAATTGTTTTATAAATGTATTTGTATATGTATGTATAAAATTAAATCCCTGTCTTATTGTAACAAGTAGGGAGAAAAATGTGGATATATATAAATTATATTTCAATTTTTTGTAATAGATTTTGATTTTGTAATTGAATTTTATATTTCTTCAGTAAACTGTATACGTGTATATGTTTCCTATCCATATCACGAAAAGTCGCTTTGGACTTTTAAATAAATAATACGAAATCCAATTAAAAATGAAAGTATAATTCGAAAATACAATCGAGCGCATAGAATATGTATATCATAGTATATCTATATATGTATATCATGGTAGTTTCTGCGGAAGTTTACGTTTATCTAGGCATTTTCTGTAATCCTCATTGGCGCGAAACACGTTACGAGGAATGCAGAAGCTGAAACTACAGCTTGATACATACATATACGTAAACTTTCATCGCGAAAGCGTGGCACGTCATCGATCGAAATAAGATCGTATTACCGTATCCCGGAAGAAAATGAACGGTTACTGCAACCAGAAGCGCCGTAAAACGTATTAAACAGGTCGTAACTAAATTACATATATAAGTCTCCCTCCCCCGATGCCTAATATGTCCGAAAGCGCTCTGCATACGCATTTCCTACATTTAAAATTTTTTCTTCGACACGCGAAAGGATAAATGTCGCAGACTCTGTCATTACATGTGCTGTTGAATTCTTTGCAAGTTATTAATTTTTTCTACTCGTCGCATACTTAATGATGCGATATATATAACGTGTTTAATTATAATGTACATATAATGTACATATAATTAGTGTTTAATTATAATGTACATATAATTACTCATATTAATGAACAATTGTGTAAGAAAAATAATTATTGATTCGATGAAAGATATTTCTTTGAAAAATTATGCAATTTTATCACAAAAAGCTGAAAAGAGAAACGATAGATCTCTCTTTTTTACGAAAAATTTTAATTATATTTATAACATATTAATTGTAAAAAAATATTAAAAATTTAGAAAGAAATAGATATATTAAAAACGCTTTTCTATGTTGATGTAAAAGTCAGAAAATGATTACGAAATGTAATACACCGCCAATATTCACCATAGAAAAATATTTTTCTCAATATATCAATTATATATAAAGAAGAGTTATATAATATACTTGTTTAATATCTGGTACTAAAATATTTTAGAACGTTCACCAGCAAATGCCAGTTTTACACATGATTTGTCGCCACTTTTCTATCAAATCGCCAGATCAACATATATGTTGAAATATCGTAAGAAAAAAAAAAACATTAATCACTAACATTAGCCAACGCTGCATTTTCGAAACAGAAATTTCATATGTAAATCAATAAAAATAGAGAAAATATGTAAATAAATAAAAGATAATATTTTCCTTGAACTTTTCACAATATCTAAGTTTCAAAACAAGTTGTTAGACATACTTGATGCCTTTAATAATAATTTGAAATAAGCTATTGAAATTTCTAAATTACAATTATTTAATAACAATGTTTAATCTCAGAAAGACATCTTTGGAATATAATAATAATTAACGATTTAATTATAAATTTCCTTATATTATAATTAATATTAATACCTTTAACATTATTTTTAAAATTAATTTCTCGGATATTAAACGCGGCGAGGAAACGCACATGTGTTTGACAGCTGGCGGAAACACATGTTTTTGACAGCTGGCGACATCTATCGGCATCAACAGTCAATACTGAAACAAAGGTTTCGATCAGAGTACATCTAAGTGCATCTTCTGCTGCGTATCGTGTGAGTGCTTTGTATAAATGGCTGTCGTGAAAAAAAACAGTGTGATCGCGACCGCAACGACACGAGAATATTTCTAAATTCGTCTTTTCATTCGTAAATCTCTCGGTCATCGTGTGTGCGTGAAAAATTATCTAGCGATGCTGTCGATGGACGGCAATGGCAACGGCATATCTAGCAATGAGGTTACATCTTCAGATATTTTAATTGTCAAAAAATTGACAGGAGCCACGAAATGGGCTATTTCGAATTGACCTTGGAGACCTCGTGTGGCGAAAACGCGAAATTCGAGATTCAGGGCTACCAATGTAAAACAAAAATAAAAATAAAATTCACTATTCAATAATTCATGTCCGCGGTTGCGATTGTGTGGAGGTTATATTAGATAAGGATTCGCAATTATCTTTTTCTCTCTCTTTTAATTGTATCTTCACGAAACATCATAGTCGAAGTTGATATTTCTAAAATTCGCTTTAAAAACACGAGAAGTCTCCACGTCAATAAGGAGAATAATAAATTAAAGGTAAAGCAAGATTAAATCATATATTCCTGTGCTATTTGCTGACAAGATGCCAATTAGAAACATAGATTTTTCGTTATATTAAAAAGTACGTCAAAAATTTCAAAAAATAGTTATGGAATTGTTATTTATTTTCAAGTTATGCGAATGCCAAAAAAAATTTTAACTTTGCTGCCGACGGTTTGACATGTAAACAGCTGATCGAGTCACTTTGAGCTTGTGCCCGTTTTTATCAATGCGATTTAATTAATTAAATTAAATTGCAAGATAATATTAAAATTTTAATTATATATTAGAAGATATCCTACAATATTAAAATAAAGATTAAATTTAAACTATATTAATTCATCGAATATTAATATAAATATAAAAAATATCAAATTTAGCAATTACTATATTACAGCTATCTGCTTTATTTAAATGCACTTTACATTTAAGTTCTTCCTTTTTTCCTTTTTTTAAAGCAAACAAGTAAATAGATATAAAAAGTAATAATATATTTAGCTATTCATTTCTTGTAGCCTTTATTAAAAAATATCTAATGAATAATAATTGCTATATCAATATTGGAAACATAGGAAAGCATGACCAAATCTGAAGATTCTTTAGTACCCAATATTCTTGGATTAAACAGACCTAAAGAATGGACTTACACAATGAGAAGGCACATGCAGGTAATTAATAACGCAATGTACAACAGTATATATTTCTATTAAGATCAATCAAATTTTGCAACATATTTTATTAAGCTTTAAAAAATTTATAAAAAAAAACGAATAGTTAAATTTCTCATTTCTCTTATTTTTATAAAAGAAAGAGAAAAGGAAAAATTATATATCATTAGTAGTAACTTAAGAATCATTAGTATTTACATTAGTACTAAATCTATTGCATATTACATACAGGAGGTGGTACCTGGAGTATTTCTTGGCCCATATAGTGCTGCTAGCCGTTCCAATTTACAATCTTTGCTAGATCATGGAATAACACATATAATTTGCATCAGACAAGCTATTGAGGCTAATTTTATAAAGCCCAATTTTCCCCATAAATTTAAGTATGTATTATTTTAATTATGATAATAATGTGTTAGTAATAAAATCATTTAATATAAAAAAGAATTACAAAAATTTTTAAAAATTTTTGACGAAAGCCGTGAGTCTTTGTAATTTTTTTTTATTCTTAATAATTAATTTTATAATATCTTAATATATATAATTTTATTTTCTGACTTTGCTACATTATCTCTCTTCATATTTTTAATATATTATTAAAATTTATTTAATTTAAAATTAATATTTTCTCTTAATTCTTCCATTCTTACAATATCTTCTATATGTGTACATTATTAACACCTGCTTCAGGTTAATGGTATATATATTTTATTATCTCTTAAAGATACCTAGTTTTGGACATTGCTGATACAATGACGGAAAATATCATTCAACATTTCAAGAAAGTAAAGATATTCATTGATGAGAGTTTAAGTTTAAATGGACGTGTTTTGGTTCATGGAAATGCTGGCATATCGAGATCTGCCGCACTGGTTCTGGCATACATTATGGAAACTTATGAACTTTCACAAGCGTAAACATTTTTTTTTAAATATATACATTATTATTCAATATAAAGCTAATCTAAAATTTTGAATATAAAATTATATAAAACTTATAATTGAAAAATACAGATATTTCTACTCCTGTTCATTTAACAAAGTGTGCAAAATTTATTTCATAAATTATCCTATGAATTTTTGTTTGCAATGAAATTGCAATAATAATAAATCTTTCTAATATTTATTCTAGGCAAGCATATATAATAGTGCAGCAGCGAAGATTCTGTATAAATCCCAATGAGGGATTTATAATACAATTAAGAGAGTACGAACCTATCTATAAAGCCGAGAAGATGTTGAAACACAATCAACAAAGTTCGGAAAGTCAATGTAGCAAACGAACAATCCATCAAATTGACTTGGATAATCAACAAGATAAGATTGGCGATGTGACTAATAGTTGATGTTAATTTAAAGCAGAGAAATAATTTAGGAAGAAAAAAGACCAAAGTTACCAAGATTTGTATTAAATCAAACTGATAAAATTTATTTTTTATTTTAATCGCATTTTGTACAATTGAAAGATTTTCCTTCTTATTCTTTTAAATAGAGCAAATATATATATAAGCAATTGAAAAAAAAAAGAAACTAAACCTGAATACCAAAATTTCCAGTATTCTTACTATAGTGAATAACATCTGACTTGGTAACAATCTAATCACTGGATTAATTAGAATAATTAGTAAATTATCTTTAACCTTCAATACCGTTTAGTTATTCAACACTCATTATGTTGAATCATAATATTAAAAACGAGAATTTCATGTGAATTTTTACGAAATAAATTTAAAAAATTGTTTTATTTCTAATATCATTTAATATAACCATAATGAGGAGACAAAAGCTTCAACAAAATTTTAGAATGAATTAGCTTAATTATAAATTTTGAATATATTTAATATAGAAAATATCTCTAATCAAAATCTGATAAAGAAAATATCTAATAAAAGAAATATAGATTAATAATGTGAAAATAATGTCTAATGCTCTATTTTTTATTTATAGTAATCTTTAATTGCATGTAACTGTTAAAAAAATTGATATTTATAAAATATGTATACATGTATATTATATATTATAAACGATATTTTTAAAAAGGTCTTTTTCATTTTATCATCATTTATTTTTTTTGTAGATACATTTTAGTAATATTTAAGTTTGAATAACATATTATCTTATTTTAAAATGACACAAATTCGTCTTTAGAGGTTTTATTTAAAATAATATTCTTTTTACTTGACCTTAGCTGGAAATTTTATGCATACTATTTTCTCTTCATTTCCGTCCACAAATTCCCACTTAATATCCACATTCAACTATAGAAAAAATAAAAGATATATTTTTAATTATTGAAACATTTTTAATTGTATATTATAAAACTTTTAATTAACTAACAGAACTTTTAAAATCTTATAAATTTTTACTTTGTAAAGATAAAATTTTTTGACATATTTCGAAAGAAATATATATAGATTAATATTTATATATAGATTTATATATAGATTAATTTTAAATATATCTCAATCTAAATCAAATCTAAATTACGAAATAGAAATAGAAAATATAAATGTAAAAAAAAGTAAATATAAATTTTAAATGTGCTAGTTACCGAAGGGAATCTTTTCTGCACGAACAATGAAGTTGTGTAAGTATATTCTTGATCCTTATGCAGAGGACATTTGAGTCCATCATGAGAATCCGTGCATGCATCAGGATTAGTTAGAGGAAAAGGTACTGGAATATCAAACAATACACCATATACGCGTACATCGACTGTAGGGATGTCTTTATCTGCAAAGAAAATTTGCGAATAATCGTTATGAATAGATAAGGGTTATATATGTAACTATTAATATTTGTTAACTATTATTAAAAATTTAGAATAAAAAAGAAAAATATATATATATATATATATATATATATTGGTTAATTTTTCAAACATAAGTTAAAATTACTTACTCGGTACAAACGTAATAGTTATCGATGCGTTAGTGCCACGCACTAAATTGCAGCGTGCATCCGATTCTTTACATCCCGAGACCAATATTTTCGTAAATTTCCCCAAATTTGAACCTAGGATAGAATGGAAAAAAGTAAATATAAATTATAGCAAAATTTAGATAAGTATAGTAAATATAATTAACACGTAATATATAAATATATTATAAATATATTTTTATATTTATCATAAATTTAAGCATATATTACATATATCAATAAATAAAAAATACAAAAAAGAGAGAGAGAAACTGTATTCCTTATTTGCAATAATGCAATAAAATTATACATCTAATTTTATATATATAAATTTATATAATGATTAAAAAAATAATAGAATAATATCTTTATATTAAATTGAATTATAATTATTTTTAGTAATAATATAAAATACTCTATAATAAAATTTCACGAAATTTAACTATATTTATCATCAATAAAATTTTTAGAAATATATATGAGATTACATTTACTATTTTAAAAAACATAACATTTTCAGTAAAAAAATTTCCTTAAATAAGAAATTCTTTAAAGATAAATTCCTAGTATTGATGACCAACACCGAACTTTGTTATTTGTATTATACATTCTTATCTCGAATGATAATACTGGAATAAGATGAATAACACGCGGGCACACAAGTCATCATTAGTCTCTTTTCAATAAATGATATAACAAGAATGCATTACACATATTTTCATTCTTGATTTTGACAGGACACATACATGAAATGATAATATAATTGGGGAGACAGTTTTACAATTGAAGACAAAAATGTGGCAAGACAAAATGCAGTAAGATGATAAAAATACGGCAAGACAAAAAAGCGATGCATTTTATTAAAGAAAAATGATATAATGCTATTCTACAAAAGATTGTTGGAGATTATACAATCAAATAACAATACTATTTTTACTATCTTTTGTCAAGTAAAAAATTCCTTGTATTTCTTTAAAATAAAATAAAGATGAAAAAAAGTATATATATATATATATATATATATATATATATATATATATATATATAAAATATGAATTAAATATAAAAAATTAAATAATTGAAACAAAAAAACATGATATAAAGTAAAATATAAAATTTAAATAAAAGTAACAAATGTAATTATTTCGTAATAACCGGGATTTAATATTTACCGTCTTCGAAGGGAACTTAATTTCTTATGACATAGATGCATACAATAATACAATAAAATAGTAATAGACGCGTTTATGACAATAGATGCATTTACGTTGTCATAAAAAAGCTATAAAAATCATTCGCGCATATACTTATTGTTATAGTATCTATATGCATGCTTATCTTCATGCGTGTCTCCATTGAAATCTGAACTCTTATTCAAATTAGATCTATCAGTTTCACTTCCACGTATATTTGCATTCAAACAAACGTGCATGAGGCTTTGGAAAGGCTAGTAAAGAAAAAAACAAATTCTAAGAATGGTGATTAAAATGAATTGATCTTCTTATTGTCTTTCTTTCTTCAAACTGATCTTCTTCAAATAATATGAAATTTCTATGATATTTTATCAGATGATAATACGATAAATATGATAAAATTCCTGAAAAATATACCGCTCTTTTACCATCATAATTGTTGCCAACACCATCATAATTTTGTTACCAACGCTGATTATAATTGACGTTAATTAATATATCTAATTCCATACGAATGTTTCTTTCTCTCTTTCTCCATTACAATAATTTTAACATTCCTATCAAGATTTTAAAATTCAAAATGTGTAATATAAACAATTGTCGGAAGATATAATATTCTTAAAGCACTGCAATTGTCATTAATATCGATTACAATATTAATAATTATAATTTCGTACGACGCGGATTTGTAATCCGGCTTCAAATTTTCTATCAAATTAAAATGAATTTCGCATAGGCTCAAAGAGAGAAAGAGAAAGGATATAAATCGAAATGTAAACAAGAACAAAAGACCGGTACCAAACAGCTGATAAAAGCATACGAGTATGCATACATTAAATTATAAAATTACAAAATAATATATAAAACTAATGTTTTGATTCCCACTTTAGGTCTCTCCTCGATAATAATATATGTATATATGAATATTAACAATATATGAACCGTATTTTTGGTTCTGTCATCGGTCTTTCTTTATAGTTTACATTTCGATTTTCTAAATTTTCCAACATGCTCGAATAGTATACAACTATCTTTAAAACTCCTAAGACTATTAAAGTTTCACAAAAAACGCATATATACTTACCACAATTTTCAAATTCGACGGCGAGACAAAACGCAGAACAATACAAAACGCATAGAAGCGCAAGCACGCCGCTCATTGATCGGTTCATGTTGCTGATACGCTGTTGCTGCTTGTACGACTTTCGCACGGCTATTAATGCTACTGCGTTGCTTCATCGTATATAAAGCGTTGCAAAGCGCGCCACATCCCTTGACGATATTCAACGCCACTGATCTGATATCGTCAGTACCAACCGAGCTACCGCTCGGAAGAAATAAATGATATTCATCATCGTACACAACAGATATTTATTCTTTTCTTAAGAATTCACTATCTCTTGTTCGACGTCAACCTTTTTTAATTTTATTTTTGAAAGAAAAAAAATGTTATTTGAAATTAAATATAAGAATCTTATAATTTTAGACTAAGAATTATATAATTCAAGGAAAAAATAGGGAACAATGGCACTATATTCGAAATTATATTAGTAATAAAATATCTTGTTATTTTTTGAGTTTGCATAAAAGATAAAACGTGTCTTATGTTTTTTTTTTATTTCTGCGATACTACATATATTAAATATAATTTATATATATTTGAAAAGTTTTGTTATTAAAATATTCCATATCTTATAGAAATATATCTTCCTCTGTCATTTATTTATTCTATTTTAATAAATGTAATTTTAATAAATGTGCTTTGTGTCGACGTGCGTTGGAAATATATGACGGGATTTATATTTTTTGTATAAAAATTGGTAACGTGTTCACTTATTGGGGCGCAATAATCCATTATAGTTGCCATAAAAATGCCATAAAAATGCTTTGTTTTACTTAATCTTTGCCGGGAATTTTACACATGTTATCTTTTCATCTTTCTCATTTCTAAACTCCCACATAACGTCGAGACTTAGCTAAAAACCAGAAAAAAAGACGTTATTAAATTGGTACAAGGAAAAAATATATATTTAATATTATATATTTAATAAATATAGTTTAAATACAAAATTCATTAAAATAAAATAAAATAAAACGTATGAGAAAATAAAAAATAAAAGAAGATTTAAAACAGAATTTTAAAAAAATACTAAAAGATAGATTTAAAAAAATTAACAGTTTGAAGACAAATTAACAGTTTGAAGAGAGAAAGAGAGAGAGATACACATACCGCTGGAGTTGTCTTTTCCACAAAGAATGTAACTTTGTACTCAACTTCCACATCCTTTTTCAAAGGACATTTAACCCCAGAATCTGGATCCTTGCATATCTCAGGTTTTTCTAATGGAAAAGGCACAGGCACGTCGAGTAACACACCAAATGCTTTCGCTTCAACGTTGTTCACATCTACGCCTACAAAGAAAAAAAATAAGTTAGATGTATTTCTATATGCACACAAAAAAATTCAAAATAAAATAGTATTACTAATATTATTTTTGAAATTAAATAATTTAAATTTTTTTAATAAAATAATTTTTTTTATTATATTTATTTATTAATTAAATTTATTATATTTTTATTAAATTAATTATTTTTTATTTTATTATTTTATTATTTAAAAAAAATTTTTTTAAATAATAATAATTTTTTTAAAAATCCATATTTTTCTCTCAGTAGCAAATAAATTACATAACTTTTGCAATAAGATAAAATTTGCAAAAGTAATATAAAATTTGCAAATTTGAAAATGATTATTTGAGATATAATATGTTTATTAACTTTGTGCTCAGTTCCTACTTATTATTTATTATTTACTTATTTTTTAACGACAGGACATTCTTTAGCAATGTTCACTTGTCTCACTAATTTTTTTCGTCTTGACAACCGTAAAAAAGAGATAAAGAAAAAAGAGATACAGAAAGTAATGTATTATCACATACCTAAAATATCAGCAGATTTTTAAAATTTGGTTTCTAGTATTTGTAAGATGCAGAAACGATTTTCTTTTTAATTAAGTAAAATTATAATACTAAAATTATGATAACTTTCCAAAATTAATAATCAAAATGAATAAAATTATAAATATTTTTTGGACAATTTGAAAATTTTTATTATGGAAATTAGAAAATTAACGATAATTAAAATTAATAATATATTTAATCATAAGTAATTTTTAATATGAAGAGAAAAAAAATTTTTTTTAATTCCTTATTAAAAATATTCTAAATAACTTTTAATAATTTGTATAGAGGAGCGAGGGAGCATCACATACAGTCCGTTCTTCTACCTTACATTATCGATTATATTATTAATAAGCCTTAAGAATGTCACAATACAGTTATTATGAAGGAATGTCTTCAAGCATTCTCTACGTCAAATATTTTTTAAGTATAATGAGAATTAAGAAAAAAATGAAAAAATACAGGTGAAATGAAAAAAAAAAGAAAAGAAAAATCGAGATATCGCCTGCAAGGACAAAAAGTAAATTATAGCAAATTCAGTTGAATGCACTAGTGCGCACTTAAAAAAGCTGTAATATATAAATAAATTATAATATGTAATATAAAATGTTATATATAAATAAATTCTAATATATAAATAATATATATAAATTTACAATAGTATAAGTATTGAAGTAGTAAGATAATTAACTACGAGAGTTATTATATATATAATTGTTATTTAATATGAATAACGATATAATAATAACTTGTAGAATCAATTATTCTATTGTTTTATTTATGTTATAAATTATAAATTTGTATACAATAGTTTTTAATATACTAACTTGGTGTAAATTTCATGGACACATGTACTTTGCTGTCACGATTTATTGAGCACTTTTCTTCAGATGGGTCACAGCTTGAGATTATTATATCACTAAACTTACCCACCTCTGAACCTAGAATTGGTTTAAAATAAATATAGTACGAATCATTTTAATGTTTAATGTAAATTCAAATAATTCAATAAATATGTGACAAATTTAATATCTATAGTTAATAAACAGTAATAAGTAATTAATGTTCTGCATAAATACATTGTGTGAAGGTGTTTGCTTTATATCGTCAATTTGCTATAATCACATCTCTTACATCACTATCTAATATAAGATTACAGGTGTGGTATGATTACATGTAATCATTAAGTAATGCGTAAACAAATATTCGTGCTACATAATTAAATGGTGGTTTTGCGTGTAATATTAGTCATAACTTCCGATATTGCATCCTTAATTAAGAACTTCCAACGTTTTTTTGTAACGTATGGTTAACGATAAAAGCAGAATAATTGATATATACTCTATAACAGAAATCTTTACGTGCAATTTTTACAAAATCCTTATCATTTACAAAATTAATAATAAGACAATTTAATTATTTATTTAAAAAAATAAATAAATCAATAATTACTTAATAATTAAATTTATGTTTTATTTTAACAATTTTTTTAGGAGCAATAAAATATAATATTTCTGCCTTGATCAATTTTAAATCTCAAATAATGGTTTTTATCAGAACTTTCTAAAAAAATTAGAAAAAATTAAATTAAATTAGAGATAATTTTTCTTCAAACATTGTTTCTCTTTTTCCATTTTTGCAATTTTTATAATTTTTAATATTTATATATCTTTGTTCATTAAATTTTAAATTAAAATTCTATTGAAGTACTTATTTTTCTAAAGTTCAATCTCTATTTATAGAATGTCTTTATTTTACATAATTAATTATTCGAAAAATATTTTAATGCCTTGATTTTAAAAAAATGTTGATTTTACATTAGCTAAGAAATTTATAATAAAAAGGACATGCTACAATTACATAATGTTACAATTTTAGTATGACACTTTATAAATATAAAAACAAAATATTAGTGTCTTCAGTCATTCTTAATGCTTTTTTGTGCTTACACGTAATAAATTTAATAATTAATTATTAAAACTTAAATAATAATTAAAAATCAAATATTTCTTACGGAAATAATAATAGCTATAGATCTTGCACAAACAAATTCTCAAAAATGATTAGAATCACAATAAACTTACCACAATCTTCGAAAACGAAAGCAAGAGAAGATATTATACAGCACAGGACGCATAATAGCAAAAAACCAACATTCTTTCGAGTCATGTTGCTTCCACGACTTCTACGTGAATATTAATGAGGCTGCGTGAGATTCGCGCTAAATTTATAAGATCGCGCTTATCCAATGCGAAAACACAATTCATCTCATTACGATTAATGATAGTGAGATTATTACTGTGTATAGTTCCACAAATAAATGATATACTATTAGTGATAGATATGGAATGATATAGTTTTATATTATTTATAATGATTACAATGAAAAATACTATAGATTATAGTTGATTTATAATAATAAAAATATTAGTATAAAAGATAAAATATGTCAAGCTTATATCTTTTTCAATATAAATTTAAATTAATATAAATTTATATTTATAACGCAAGTATATAAAAGCGACGTAATATAACATAATCATAAATATATACATATGTTAATTATTTTATAATTTTGTATTTTTAATTATTAATATTTATATTTTTAATTATGATAAATATTTTTTCTATTATATCTAATATTTCTAGAAATATTTTCTATTATAATATTAAATATTTCTATAGAAAATTTTATTTTGTTAATATTTGAAATAAAAATTGTATACTATAATAGAAATATATATATATATATATATATATATATATATATATATATGTATATATATATACATATATATATATAAAATTCAGATATATATAAAATACATATATAAAATTCATATATATATATAATTAATATATATATAAAATTTATCTGAAAATTCTTAATTTTCAGATAAAAAATAAAAATGTATTACTGTACTGTAAGAGAAAGTGTATCGCAACAGTTTGAATCGTTTCCCGCGTCACAAGAATGTAAAGATCGCAGCGCCTCGATGCCAGCATCAGTCGTGAGGAAGTGACGTTCTTACAGCGCATCGTCCACGTAGCGTTTCAAGTACTCGCACAAAATATCCCGTAACGACACATTGACAAGACATATCGCAACATACTCGAGTAGACGCGTGAGTGCCGTATTTCTCTCCTGTTTGTAATCTTCTCCCATTCTGGTGCAAATTTTATTTCTCTCGTGAAATTTATATTGGTAAATAGTTTTACGCTAAAAATATCACAAAATATCACAAAATATATACAATTTTCTGTGTGAGAGATTTCTGACATGTATAACACACATCTTATTTATCTTATTAAAGTGCAAAAACGCTATTTCTGTAACTATATGTTGAATGAAATATTTTTGGTGCACCGTATTCCGTGGCATAAATTGGATGATATTTTATAAATTCCAATCTTACTCACACAAATACATATAAAAGTTTATAACCTATATCTTGCTTAACTTAGTGCAAAGCTGATTTTTAAATTTGTATGTTAAATAAAAAAGAAAGTATATATTTAATATAAAATAAATATTTTTATATCGTATAGTAAATGTGATAGTATTATAATAATATCACAAAGAATATAGTCAGTGTATTAATCAAAAACTTAGATTATTCCTAATAATTTATCTTTTAATAATACCTGTATTATATGATAAATTGGACATACATAATTGATTTTTCTAATAAATTTTATTTTTTTTCTTGCAGATTCTCAATTGATATGGATCAAATTAAGAAACTTACTGAGCCTGGTCGTCAGTTTGCCAAGGACAGTATTCGACTTGTCAAAAGATGTACCAAACCAGATCGCAAAGGTAATTTAATTTTGATTATATAAACAGCCATAATATAATAAATATAATAAAAGCAAAACAATAATAGCAATAAATAATAACAGATTATATAAACATGAGTATATATTTTAATCATAACTTGTACTTTTATAAATTGCAGAATTCCAAAAGATTGCTATTGCCACTGCGATTGGCTTCTGCATAATGGGCTTTATAGGATTCTTTGTTAAGCTAATTCATATTCCAATCAATAATATCATTGTGTAAGTTTTGTAATATTAGTACATCTTTGTTTAATCATATTGATTTATATTTAAATATATTCATTTTATATATTTTTTTTTCAGAGGTTCATAAATTACAATCTGAGATTCTTGTTACTTTTAAGAAGATAATTGTTAAGGTCTCATAAGGTTACTTCCGTTGTTGTATGTCCCTCTATTATTTATAACACAAAAATATGTTTATTCTGTACTGAATTGATTTGGCAAGTGAGATAAGTGAGAGATGTGTGCATAATATATTAATGAGTTTTATAATAAAATAGTAACCTAAATCGCTTATTTTCTTATTCATTAATTATATTTCGTAGAAATAAGAAAAATAGATTTATAATTTAAGAAAATATAAATGTGATATTCTTATTTAAAAATTTGAAAAAATATATAGTCTTTATTTTTCTGTTTTATGTATATTATGTATATTATTTATCATATTATGTATATTATTTAGGAAAAATTTCTAATTCAAATTAAAATTTTCGATTCGAAAATTCGATAAAATTAACACACACATACAAGAAAGGATTCTAAAAGTTCAGATTATTTTTTAGTATTGGAGGCACTTTTATTTAAAGAATAAAATTTTTGTCAGGTTACAACGATAAAATTTTATTGGCCGTTTTTCCATCTCGCTCGCATAATCAGTATATCAATCAGAAGAATTTGCAGGAAAAACGGTCACACTGCATGGAAAACCATAGCCAGGTACTGAGTAATATATGTAGAAGATATAATAATGCCAATTCTCTTTGTTGATGAAAATTTGGCAAGCTTCTTTTACAAATTTACAAATTTACTTTTTTCTTCAAAAAGCGAGGCTTACTTTCTAAAAGAAAAAAAATTTTAGATAGTTCACAGAAAAAGAAGACAAATTCTTAAATACTAGAAGCCACAGTATCCAGAATTATAGCACTGGCAGTATTCAAATAATAAAAAGGGATATATAAGTTCGCGGAGGTTGCGTACAATGCAAATTTACGATTTAAATACAGCATAAATTTATTAAAGCGCTTTTAACGGATTCTCTCTTTAACACATTTTTCCTTTTAATATACATTAACTTAATATTATTTTTTAAGTTCAAAATTAAATATTTCTGACATTTAATCAGATGTATATTAAACTATTAAATACTCTGTTCTGGCAACTTAATAAAAATTCTATAAAAAGAGGATAATATTTCTATAGCACCATTTTTCACACTGCTGTGTGATATTGACATGATTGCCATTTTCGCAATTTACGGATTAAACGTCATCTAGGATTTTACTTAATTTCGTAAATTCCATATACTGTCGAAGAAAAAAAAGAAAACAACACGAGAGACTTTATCTTGCTTTGCTTTGCTCACAAAGCGCTAGGAAAATCTCACGGTTTTATCAATCTGACAGTGGCAACACTCCGAAGAGGAAAAGGCATTTAGTCCGCGATTTTGTAAGCGTTTGTTTCGTTATTTAATATTCCAGCATTTCGCTAAAGATCAAACTAACTTTCGTAAAAAATTACATGAGAAATCATCTTATAAGCGTAGCCCAAAGTGCGTTTGCCAAAATAAAAAACAATATTTTATAAAAAGGTCTTCAAAGATTTATAATCGATTTAAAACTATTTAAAATTATTTTAAGGATCAATAAAAATTAAAAACTTAATTAAAGGAGACAAATACATTTCAATAAAATAAAGTTTCTTTTTCTTTCTGATTGTGAAAATATCAAATAAGTCTTTTAAGGAAATATAAAATTTGGGCTTTCTCTTTTTCTCTTTCTCTCTCAAATTTGTGAAAATTATCATGTTTATTACAGAATAAATTATATATATTATGTTGCGCTTATTTTCACAGTTCTCTTTGGTATTACTTTGTTTTTCTTCTTTATGTAACAATCTTTCATGTGAACATTGAAACTAGATGTAATAAGAAATAGTGTATGTATGTATTAACGGCGGTAAAATCTCGATTTGCAAACGCACTGAGGGAGGGTAACAAATTGAGGTATGTCGTTAGGCACGTAATTCTCTGTTCTTCATCGAATCTAGCATTTAATAATCGTCATGTAATTAAGTGTTCGTTAACTATTAATGGTATGGACTTATGCGATATTTTATGCGATCTTCTTTGCGCATGAATATAACATATATATATATACAAAATGTCTCAACATGCTAAGTCATTATTTTTTACAAAAAATAATTTCTCAATTCTTTTATAATTAATAAATGTATTAATATATTATATAAGGATCTTTTTAAAATGAAGTTTTACATGCTTTATTTTATAAAATCTCTTGCATTTATATTATGTAATTGCGAAAAGAATCATGATACGCCAGCTTTGAGACATTCTATATACATATATTTTTATAATATTCATATATTTATTTATGTTTGTATAAAATATATGTGCGTACGTACATAATATTAAATATCATTCGCGTTATTCGTAATTATAAGTATCCTCTGAACGCACGTTATCGACTTTTTGATAATCAATATCATTGACAGATTTACCTGCACTGGGATACTTTCTCACTGTTTCACGAATCCGAGACAGACGCTTCGTGAATAATTAAAATTATTCTCAAGATTATTATTATAGAATAATTAAAAACTTATTCCCAAAATATATCAAATTTTTTAAATAAATATAATTAATTCATTTTCATAAATTTTTTCTAATAGTAATTTTTTTTTATAAATGTAAATTAAAACGCTCTTATTTTTTATATTTTATAATTTTTTCATAACTTTAAATAATGACATATTATTTATAACAAAAATTTATAAGAAGAAAAATTTATATTCTAAAATAAAAAATTTTTTTTTTCAATATTTTTAAAAATTTTATATAGTTTACAAATAAAATTTCTTTTCAATTACTGAATGTTAAGCGCGTTATGTCTCGGTTCTGTTTATTATTTAACGACAGTATATCCTTTAGTGATGCTCACTCGCCTCGCTAGTATTTTCGTCGGCGCGATAACCATAAAAAAGAGATAAAGAAATAATGTATTCGTCAAGTAACAAAAATACCAACAGACTTTTAAAGTTTTACTTTTACTAAAATGTAAAAGCGATTTTTTTTTAGTTCATTAAAATTAGAAAACTTAGTTTTGGACATTAATAATCGAAATGAATAAAGTTAAAATATTCTTTGAATAATTTAAAAATTTTTATAATGGAATCAGAAAATTAATTAATTAATATAGATATAATTACTATATAATTAAAAGTAATAATATGTTTAATCAGAAATTATTAATTTAATATGAACAGAAAAAGAATTTTAAAAATAATTCTTTATTAAATATTCTAAATAACTTTTATTTCTTGTAAAGGAGCGAGAGAGCATCACTGGGTACAGTCCGTTCTTCTACCTTACATTATCGATTATATTATTAATAAGGCCTTAAGAATGTCACAGTACGGTTATTATGAAGGAATGTTCAAGCGTTCTCTACGTCGAACGTTTTTTGAGTATAACGAGAATTCATTAACAAAAAAAGAAGAGAAACAGATGAAATGAGAAAAAGAGGAAAGGAAGATCGATGAATGATGAGGAAGACGAAAGATAAAAATCATTGTTCGCGTTTACGATATAATAATCGACTTATAAGCTACGGACTTTTACGATCGAGAGAGACTAACGAGAAGCACGGACTGCTTGTGTAAAAAAAATTAAAATTAAATATTAAATTCAAAAGAATAGAGAAAAAGTCATATGATCACCATCCAGTTTTTTAGTTCTGCAATATCTCATATATGGAATGCATATAATCTTGTTTTAGTCATCACAACGCCAATTATTTCTTATATAATCATATTACTCAAAATATATTTAATCGAAAAATGAAATTTTATAACATATGATATTTTATAACATATTGCGTATAAAATTAAAATAAATTGGAATAATAACATAAAATTGATATAAAAATACAAAATATAGAATTTTCCACATAAAAAATATCAGAATTTTTTTTCCGACTTTTTCTGAAATTCTTAATTTTCAAATCATAATTAAAATTACTATCATTTAAAAAGATTAAAGATATGAATATAGTAAAAATATAAAAAGAATTAAATAATTATCAAACAATCACAAGATTGAGAATTTTTCTGCCTAAAAGATCTATCTTTATTAAAGCCGATTGACTTTTATCATTTTCAATATCCTTTAGTTTTGTCATTTATGCATTTGTGAAACTATATAACAAAAGAATATATCTATATTTTTACAATTTAATAAAAGAATTTTATTCTTTTTTAAATCTCTTAGACAATTTTTAAAATTCCACATCATTTAGGCAAAATTAGATTAATATTGGTAAAAACCAATTATAGTATCAATTTTATACGTTCGAGTCTTCAAAAAATTATTATGTACGCTTTCCGAGCTTCTCGACGATCCTCTCTCCTTCAAAAGAAACGGTGAAAAAAACGATATTCGCCGTTTTGCTAAACTGTGCAACCAGCATCCGACGTTGTCGGCACAAAGGGGCTACCTTGTCGATAAAAATCGGTTTCGTATTCCTCGACCTTCACTGGATACTCGGTCACACAGTTCTGCGGCTGATTCAGAGCCGGCGGAGGTTGTTGCACGAAGTTCTCCTGATAGCTTGGCAGCTGAAGGGGCTCGGCGTACTGCTGGTAAGATGTCGTGTCTATGCCCTGCTTCAAACAAGTTGGACTGTGGAGGCTCAACATATCGACCAGCCTGCGCCTCTGAGTCTCCAATTCTTGAATCTGGGACTTCAGATCGTGATTCTGCGTCTCGAGGATCTCGGACTCTTGCACGAGAATCACCGTTTTCTCCCGCTTCTTCAGCCGGCACTTGGTCGCCGCGATCTTGTTGCGCTCGCGTCTCCGTCGTCGTCGTTCCTCGTCCTCTGGTGTCAGCTGCAAATGACAAGAATTTTTTTCGATCCTGGCGTCTTTTATTTTTCTTTATGAGAGAAAATTTTCTATTCCGTTTTTCCAGATTCGGAATTTTGGATATCTTTAGATTTTGAAGTGTTAAAAGGAGGATTAAAAAAAGTTTGGAATTATTTTTGGATCTCTTTAATTTTCTCAAAAATTTCAACATTTTCGTTTTCTATCTTCTTTTAGGAGTAGGAAGAACTTTCAATTTTCTTGTCAGAAAATTGTAGAATAATCCAGCCCTTAAGATTTCATATTTTGATCTTTATTTTGAAGTTCTTGAAGACTCTTGTAGTTCTATAGTTTCAATCGACATGAGTCGCATATTTCGTAAAAATTCATTTATTTTTCGCTGAATGAAAACGACCAGTCATATGAGAAAGGATGTTAATCGTTTACAATTCGTTGCACTTTCACGAACAATAGCAAGAATTTATGTAAAGATATTAACATCAATGCTTGAATCAAATTTGCCTTGATCTTTGAATATGACAAGAAAATGTGAGTATATATTCTCAATTTTTACATTTTCAAAATTTTTAAGCAGAGTTTTCAACTAAAATCATTTCTGGATTCAGTTCTTAAATAAGAAAAATATATTTTATAAAATTCCGCGAGTCATAACTTTAGAATTAAAAATATCCGGAAAATATCAATAACTCCGAAAATATCAATAACTCAATCAAAATTCTTGTCGTGATAAAACTTCAATATTTTGTTCCAAGGAAAGGGCAAAATTTGTATTTAATTTTTAAAAAATTTTATTCCTGCCTAATAAAAAATTAATAACATTCCGGTCTTGAATTTATGTTTTATACGTGAATAAAGCATATGCGCCGAAGACATAAATTAATTCTTCATTTAAATGTTATTTTTAAGATATATAATTCTATCTTATTCATTTTTTCATTTATATATCATGAGATATATATTTTTTGCCTTGACATTTTTCAGTTACAATAAATTTTATTGCAATATCTGATCGAAACTGTTTACCAAATTTCCAGTGTACAAAATTCTCTATAGAATAATTTATTTCACACACTTATACTATTAAAAAACATATCAATGACAATCTATTTTCAATTAGCACAAAACTTTAATAAATTCTGTATATACAAGATAGATATTATATTACAACATAGAGATATCCTATCTTATATAAAATTATTATTATTTTTCCGTATTTTAATGCTGCTATAACTAAATTTGCTTAAAAATAAAAAATAAATACAGCAAAATAAAGAAATAAAAATAAATTTGGAAAACAGAATTAAAAATATATATTTTACGATTACAAATGTTGATTCGTAGCGATTAAAATACGAATGCGTTATTTCTTCGCGTTTTGAGATTCTGCTAATTTTAGCAGCATGCACTTCAAGTCGTAAACACAAACGATCCTGCGCGTAGCATGTAAATTCACGAATATCGAAACTGTCGAAACGATCCAAAGTCTGTCGGAATTAATCTATTCACACACGCGAATAGTCGCAACGACAGTCAAGGACATAAGAAGGATCGGAAAGATTTCGTCTGGGATTAAGAGACGTCTCCGAACTATCGCTAGGAGACATAAAGAAAGATGGAATTATGTGGATATTCATTCGTAAATGTAGATATTCATTCCGTGCAAACTGTCCATTTTAATTACATTTTTTCGTATTTTTTCATTCAAAAAATTAATAACATTAATTATCATGAGTAATTATTATGATATTTTATAAAAAATTTCCTAAAAAATTGATTATATCAAATCTCGAATTCCTCGAAATTATTATATTTATTAATTATTATTTAATAATTAATTAATTAATATGAAAAATGACAAAAAATGATCAAAAAAATCTCAAGGAATTAAAGACAAATCATTACTTGGAAAGTATTCATTTTTACTTTGACAATTCTCTTTTGCACCAAATGTATATAAAGTTAGCTCTATCGTCTCTGAATGTGAGTAAAATTCGAAATTCAATCGAAATTTACTTACACTATTCTTGTTGTTGTTGTTGCTCACCTCATCCTCTTCCTCGTCGTCGGCGCCGCTGCCATCTTCCTTTCTCGTCTTCTTTTTGCTGTCATCGCCACTGCTATTCGCCCGCCTTTTCGTCTGCAGTGTCAGCTTCAGCCCTATCCAAGGGAGTTTAATTGATTCTCATTGATTAACTTTGCTCCCAAATATATCGACAAGGCATTCGCTCGCGATACACGAGGATCGCAAGTCCATTGAAGTACTTAAAGATGTTAGAAATTACACGCTGTGGGGGAGAAAGAAGATGGTGTCCCCTTTTTTACTATTTTATTAAGAAATATAAAATAAGGTATTATTCAAATTTAAAATTCTTATATTTCTCATTTAAAAATCTAATTTAACTAAAAAAAATTTAATTTTAATATATCTTAATTTTAATTAAATTTAAGAAATAAGATTTTATTCGTATAAATTAAAAAATATTATAACAGTATTATTAGTTTGAAATATAACTGTATTGTGTAAATAGATAAGAATCGAAAAATCATATTCATTTATAAAAGATAGAAAAGTCGAACATATAAATTATACAGCATGAGATAGTGATAGATAATCACATTTTATTTCGTATGTCTGTTAACATTACGATAAATTGTAGACTTCCGCCGGAGAGTAGATTTGAAAATATAACATAATACGCATAATACATTACTACCATAGAAAATGACAGTGATCGTTAACATTTCCACAGTACAAGGACATTCTCGTGACCTTCATAAAACTAAATTGCGATAATTAAGAATTATTTATGTCAAAGCTCACACGATATACAATCCGTTATCAAAGTATTATTCTACGCAAATTCTACATTTGAGAATCAACTTAATTTCAACTAATTAATTTGGCAATTAGTATAACAGATCAATGCGATCAGCGAAAACAAAACCGCCAAAGTAATTACGATAATGATTCTCCTCTTGTATATATGTATGTATATATGTACATATATGCCTACATATTACGTAACCCGTACAACAATTTGAAAGGAACAGGATTCGCAATTTAATGCGTTACGCTTTGCACAAAGTGAACGCAAGAAGAACGAAATAAAAAGAGAGAGAGAGAGAGAGAAAACGCATTTATTACACAGCGGGACGAACATTCAACAGTGTCACCCACTGCTGTTCGTTAAATGTAGATAAAGTGGGTGAAATGAATGCAAATTTCGCTGTCAAATCTAGTCTTGATTCTTCCCCCCCCCTCTCTCTCTCTCTTTCTCCCTCCCGCTTCTCTCTTTTTCTCTCTTTTATCATACAATTCATTCTTTCATTTTATAAGAAATATCACAATTAATTATTTTTTCACACAATCCGAAAGTAATTATATGTAAAAAATATGTACAGAGAAAAAGAAAATAAAAAGAGAGATATATATATAAAATAATTACTATTACAAATATATAGTACCAATTAAATGAAATTAATATTATTAAATATCTTTAATTTCTTAATTTTTCAAAGAAGAAAAATTTTACTCTTATTTATTCATAAATTTTCTTTTTTCATAAAATCGACATTGTTATTTTTACCATTTCGTTTATATAAAAGAAGTCGCGAATATTCACACTTGTAAAGAAAAATTCTCTGCACGCAAATTTTGCTTGTTAAGATACAACATTTTTTTACATGTATAAATCTATTTATGCGGTACAATATAAATGTCGTGCGTGTCATCTTTACTACTCACCTTCCTTGATAAGCTGACTACAGGTGTGCTGGACGCTGGGCGGGCTCGGCTCGCCACTACTAGTCGAGTCCGTGCGATCCCGCATGCCCTTCTCGTTACCGCTGCCGTAGCCCTCGAAGGGATTGGTCATGGCGATCAGCGAGTTTACGATTTCCGGTGTCCTTGGCGTGACCTCGGCTGCCGCCGCCGTGACACCGAGAAGACCCGCAGCCCCGGTTGGGCTGGGATTCACGTTCACGTTCAGATTGTACATGGCTTACGCCAGGCTTTCACCATTTATCTAACCTGGAAACACGAACAGTGAGATCGTTGCGTGAAACAAACAAAGCTAATTAAGTTTAAAAGCATGCTAAATGTAATTGGATATTTCGGGGATAAATTTAATTTTTTTAAATTAATTTTTTAATAATAAATTAAAAAAGTATAGTTGTCAGAAAAACTTAAGTAATTAAAGATTAAGAATTTTTTGAAACGCGTGGATTTGACATCATTATATTTATTTAAGTCTAACTGAATTAATTAAGTATATTAAATATAATTATAAAATATTTCAAAGACTTTAACTTTAACTTCAATTTGAAAAATAATAATAAGTAAAATTGAAAAAATTGTAGTATAAAGATTAGAAAAGATGAAAAATTGATGGAGAAATAAATCCAACGCATATATTATTGAAGCAATGCGATTATACAGGGTGTCCCAGTTATCTTTCGTCATTTTCGTCAAAGACAGATTCCTCGGATTATCTGAAGACGATTTTTCCTCAACGAAAATGTCGAGGCACTAATAATTTTCGAATTATAAGTGATTGGAAATAAGGGCTTTTTCGTAAACTAAGCTTTGTAGAAATAAAATATTAACAAAACCACATTCTTTGATTAATTTTAAATAGAGTTTACTTTAGTTGAGTTTTAATTTAAGACTTAATTGCAAAAATATATGATGACAAAAATCGGGAATATGCAAAAAATGAAGATCTTCATTGACATTTTCGCTGAGGAAAAATCATCTTCAAATGATTCCAAAAATCTGTCTTTGAAAGATGAAGGAAAATAACTGGGACACCCTGTATATAAAACAAAGTAAATATGTGTATATACATAAAAAAAGAGAAAAATTGATATAAAAATCGTCGTAAACAAGTCTAAAGTTTTCGGACATTCCTATGTGTGGTCTGTAATTATAAGCTGAGAGAAATCCCCCTGCGCAAGTTCTCGAAATAAATTATTCTGCGAAAACCGCAATCAAGGATGTCGTTCTCTATCAGTTTATTCCGCGAGACTCGCCTCTCCGGAATTCCTGAGAAAGATTGGCACGAATCTTGTTATACTATGTCACACGGAATGTCCACAGAGTTACGCGATTTTGAGAGACATTACCACAAAAATGCACGTATATGGAAAATTGCAATCTTATTTTGCATTATCGAAAAATTCACACATCCTTGTTTCGTTCAAATGACAATAAATGAATTTACCACAATTGTAAGAATAATATTTAATCTCATTAAATATTATAATTTTCCATAGCTATATAATTATAATCAATTATTATTTTATAATTATATTTTATATTTTATATTTTATATTTATAATTATATTTTAGAATTATATTATGATTATGATCGTAATTAATTTAATCATTCCGCGAAAAATTCGCTTTTCATGTCTGTTTTAAATGAATATTGTCATATTATAATTGCAATCTTAGTTTATTATCTTAGTTTATTGAAACCAAAAATTAAAGATTATGAATAAGATAATAATCTTCGTCATCTTGAGAGATTGGAATTTCCTTATAATATTTATTTTTGTCCCTTTCCTGGCAGAGAACGATGATTATTATAGTTATATTAGAAATTGCTAATCCTTATCCTTGTAATCACGACCTTCACAATCTATCAATGATCGATGCACCCGTCAATAAGACGAGTCGATTCAACACCTGTACAATCAAACTGCCGATAACGAGATATAGGAAGACGATCTCATCTCAATCGAAATGTTATGAAAATTTTGCAAATTTCGTTCAATATCCATTAAAATCACAGCTTACATTTTTTTAATAATTTGACAAATTAATATTATAATATCTTAAATTAATAATTTAATAAACTAATATTTTTTTACACATTTATTACTCTTTAATGTTCGTTTAATATTAAAACTTTGTAATTATTAAATAGTAAGTGTTTTCTAGATGAAATTAAAAGCATTTATTTTTTTTCAAACATGTACATTTTTTAGAACATTTTTTGAAATCAAATTATACATGAATTTAATTATAACTAATATTTATAAAATAATTTTTAAAAATGATAAATTATATAAAAAGTTAAAGGCTATAAGTTATATAAATAAAATATAAATATAGGTATTCAATTGTGTATAATGTATTCACATTTTTCAAGTATTTATTTCTCCTAAATGAGGTTTTAAAGTTTTACATATGCCGTATTTCTTTGTATTGTACTTCCGGCAGCAGTTGTACGCTAAAAAATGAACTGTTTCTCTATTTGGTGGCGTTGGTCTAAGTCTCTAGTGAACGCATCTATCAAAATTATTCTTGACAGGGATTGACAACCTTTTAGTTCTCACTTGTTCGCTTGCTTGCCCACCCACATTGAGTTTTCTCACCGCATTTTTCAGTAACGCACCGGATACACCAGTGTTCATTATACGATATTTTTACGAGCGCGGACCATTGATGAGAATTGCGTAATCCATACATTTCGACTGACGAAAACATGAAAGAAAACTGAAATCTACAAATTTAGACTGCCATTCCAAAAATTAAGAAGTTTTTAATATATTTTTAAATAAAGTTTAAATTTCGATGTTAAATTATTATATTAATATAGAATGTTATATATTATTTATGAATTTTTTTTATTTATATTTATTTATGATGTTAAACATTTTACACTAATAACTTTAACAATCAAACTATGTAACTATAATGAGATCATAAAGCATAATTTTTTTATAATATAGTATATAATACAATAATAAAAAATTAAAATTGCGAGTATAATATTTTTAATTGTATTTGACTCAGAATTTGAGAGATTGATTTCAATTACTATCAATTTTTGTACTTAATAACGATTCGTCGCCCCGTCACTTTCACGGTCTCGCGTCTTATAAATCATTGATTAAGCTTATCCTATCAGATAGCGGTAATGAATCGTGATCACTGACTTCGAACGGAGATATACTGATCGTGAATAAATTTAAGTCCAATTTATACTCTTGAGTATTGAGATCCTTATGTATCGATTACACACAAGAAACCTGCCATCATGATAAAATTCTACTTTGTTTTTATTTTCCGCGACAATTTTTTGCAAAATTAAGCTATTACACATTAGAAAAATATAAAATAAATCCTAATTCCATAATTACGGCAAATGAAAAATTTCTTTATTATCTTGAATATGCTTTATCTAAAGTTTCACGGAAAGAAAGTATTGATTATCCATATAGTAAACAATTTTGCACAAAATAATGAATTTATGACAATAGATATACATAATGATCAATATTTTTAAAAATATATTTGAGAAATATGATATGTGCTCTTTAATAATTTTAAATCACTTTTATAACGTGATATATTATGGATATATATACATATGGATATATACATATATAATTATATATTTGTCTATACATTAAAAAATATTATATCGGATAAGGAGGATGTTTTAAAATTTACTAGAAATTAAAACAGTCTATATGAATTTTTTTATGGAAATGTAACTTTAAAATCTCTTGCTAAATTATATAACGCGATTCACTAATGCTTACATATATGTATGTCTATTTCAGCATCTTCAACACTCTTAACACTCTTTCTTTCTCTCTTACACATCTTGCGCTTCTCTTCGCTTATCCTCGCGTCTTCCACTTTGCTTCGACCTCAATTCGTTACATTCCTCTCAATCGCGCCGGTACTCATAGTGCTATTTTATCTCCGTAAATAAATCATTAAAGATAGTATTAAGAGATACATATTTTCTCCGAAGCGCGAACACGTGGTGATTTCGCGATGTAGCTAGTCATATAGCACTTGCTAACAATTCTTTCAGAAAGGATTCTCGGTTTTCTATCAAGCTATTCTATTGCTTTTGTAGCAATCGATTTGACTTAAATAAGCAAATGTATTTAGCATTGATATTATAATACAGAATAATATATATAATATAATTAAATTAAAATTTAACTTTATATTTTTATTTATTTTTTAACATTGAGTTAAAAAAAAACCGAAAAAAAATATTATAAATTAATTTAAAATTTTAGCATTTCGAAAAGGATTAGTACTATTTCCTCGAAAATATTATCTAAATAAAGTTTTTGAACAAAAATTGATGCCCATTATTGTGATAATAAATTGCCTTGTAATAATAAATTAATTATCTTGTAATAATAAATTGCAGGGAAAATTACAAAAAAGTCACAAGATATTCAATGACATTACTTAATTTCAGTGGTTGAATTTTTTAAAGTACATAAATTTTTTCAACTAACAATCGCAAGTTACTTAATCGCAAAGAAGGAGAATCGCTCTCTTTCCTTTCGCTCTCTGCATGTGGGTATTTCGTAAGAATTTTATCGTTCCGTATTCGGTCGGGCCTAATGCCCTTGCGACTCCTCCTCTTTATCCTCCTTCTTGGCCTTCTATGGTATCTCCTTCTATCTTCATCTTTTTCTTATACTCACGAGCCGAAAAAAAAAAATAAGAGAATGAAAAAGAAGAAACGACTTCCTCAGACTTGAGATCTTGCGGGGTCCATATATGCGCGTGACAAAGGGTCCCCTCGATCCTCAACATACCCAATGACCTATATGTGTCGAGGTGGTAAACGTAAGATGTGCTCAAAAGGAATAAGAGCTCGAGCAAACACTTTTATGCTTTCTCTTTCTCTTCTCTCTTTTAATGGCAGTCAAAGTCAAATATGCAATTTTCTAATAGTGTGCCATTCTTTACCAAAAACTAAAATAGAGAAATTTTTAATATATATATTTCAAGAGAAGATACTTTGAATATAAATATATATTAAATATTTTAAATATTTGAACCCACAATTTTTTTAAATTTTTGCCTATTTATATTCCAGAAATTATATATATATATATATAATTATGTATATGTATGTGTATGTACAATTTTGATATTATTTATAAATATTTTCAAATTTATAATTTTAAATATACTTGAGATAATTAAAATTCATATAAGTGTTTCAGATATTTGAAAGATTTTAATAATAATCGGATCAA